GTAACGCAGACTTCCATAGATATATATATAATTATACTAGCAGACCGGCCAAGCGTTGCTGTGGCTAAGGTTTTTGTTATATTACATAGTAGTAAACTATTCAAAGGAAACGGCAGGAAAACAACAGTCATGGAGACCACCATGCTTTTTTGGTGGCTATGCCATTAAATTGTAGCTTATGTGAAACGTTGGTACTTTCAACACAGCGCCATCTGTTAGAATTGTGACTACTAAATAATAAACAAATATTTTGCAATAAATATTGCGGGTATAAATTGAGATGTAAGCTATCCTATCTTTTAAGTTAGATCAAACTGTACACGGTGTGCGAATTTGATTGATATCGGTTCGGTAGTTTAGGAGTCCATAGCGGACAAACAACGTGACACGTAATTTATATATATTAAGATGACCTATATATATTTTTTGACAAAAGTTAAAACACACTAAATAGATCGGTCCTCATACTACAGCTATGAAACACAAATTTCTGAATAAATATTACTTATGACAACCAAGAGACAATTTTTAACTTCTTAAAAGACATCAAATATTTCCCAGCAGCATTTATTGGAAAATTAAATTGTATGTACTTATGTTTAAAACTTCTCGGAATTTCTTACAAATACTTAAAGAACAGTCCAGCTATTCACGAGTTTTAGCGAGTCAAACGAACAGCAATTATATAATATGTACGAACATAAAAAGATTATTTATCTAACATTGACATCCGTGAAAACTCCGTTTATTGCAACACTATTAATGTATTTACATATTTAAAAAAAAATTCATATGATGCCGGAACAACCATACTTGTGTGTATCCGTTTCGTGATATGTTTTACTCTTGATGGGTAAATAGTCAGCCTTTTGCGCCTGACATACGCCGTAAATTTTTAGGTTTAAGGCATGTCAGTATTCCCACTATTGTTAATTCGAACGCACGACCTCTAGTTCAGAGGCACACTCTCAAACCACTAGAGTCTAGACTAACACTGCTCAATATTTCACTAAGTTAAAAACAAAATATATTTTTTAGTTTTATTTTTTCATATTGGTAATAACCCTTATAAATGTAAATAGTTTAAAAAAAGTACTTTTAAAAAGTATTTTTAGATTGTCTCTCTCTCTCAAACTCTCGCATTTTCTTAATTGAACAATAAAATAAGTGCATTTCAGCCCATTTTCTATAGCACTAGAGTACGACTCTTTCTATCCATGTCTAAAACCAGAGCTTTACATAAAGTACAAACTCATTACACCTATATCTAATCAAGTTGCACGATAAGTTATCTTGTTTATCAACACTAATTTAATAAAAAGGGACACAGGTCATTAACCGCAAGGTCAAAGAACCCAATCGCCAGGTAATGTGAGATGTTCTTAATACGCCATGTCCATTCAGTTCTAGTTGCTGTATCCTTATTAAAATCTATAAATTATCACATAGCAGGAATCCCGCCTAGCTAAGTCCATCGTAATCTCAAAGTGTCACGCGATCGACAAAAGTATCGCTCAAAGGACGCCGCAGACCAAAATAGCCACTGTATTTTAACTGGACTCGCTTTTACAAGATTTTCTCTCATACCGTCTTTCAAACAGTCACTGTGCTATGCATGTGTAGGTAAAATTTATAACACATGTTTCATTATATTTATAACGGCTTAAATATTTGTTATATTAATTTGGCAACTATACCATGTAATGTACGATTACTCAATCGTGGAGATTAAGGATTTTAAAGAAATATTTTTTATCAAGGAACTGCAGGAACTACGAGAATTATTTTCATACGATATAAATACTACAGAGGTCACATGTAACTAAGAATTTTCAGACATCTTAGCAAATTATTTAGTATGAACCACTATATGTCTGTTTTGTAAGACTTAGAGTCTGTTTCACAATGTATGGATAAAGTACCAAATAGCTATGCAACACATAAATTATTTGGAAGATAAATTGTGCTATTTGACATTCATCGGACTCATAACTTATGATGGACTTTATGTGACGAATAGTATACAATCTGACAGTCGTGAAACGCAACAATAGTGTTTATCCTACCAATAGTAATAAATAGATAATTTGGAACTTATGTAGAACTTATCCGTACATTGTGAAACAGACCCTTAATGGGGCACATCTGATTGACTTGTTTCTCTTCTTCAAAGTCAGTTACACGTCATTAGTGCTGAGACACAGAAGCATGTATAGGAATAAAAAACATTATTCAGTAATCACATCCTTTATATACAGTACAATACATGAAATCCTTAAAAATAATTAACATTTACCACATTTACATATGAATAATTAGCGAGGCCAAAAAATTAACAAAAATATTATGTCATTGTGACGTTTTGTATTGTTAATAAAATTTCCATACTAAAAACTATAAAGCCACACATCAAGCGACGAAAGTTTTCATTAAGATTTAGTGGGTACTGTCTGTGGCATTATATATTTCAGATTTTACACGAAATTGACCATTGTATAAAATATATTGTTTTCATATAAATTGGTGTCATTTGAATCACTATATTATGCATTGGTATAAAAATATTGTGAATTCCTAATCTAACTTTCGAGTACTTTACGCATGCTTAATATACAGTGTAAACAAAAGTACATATGTAAAATTAAAACATAATAATAAACATCTTGTCAAATATGTAAAAAAACATTTGAAAAAAGGCAAGACGTTACGAAATTAAAATAAAAAACGAACCGATTCCATTCGCCAAAATGAATTTAGTTACATCGGAACTTTGCTGCCAAATCTGATGTATCATATATAGCAGTCGGTACAATATGTATTTATAATACATATATTTAGGTACAACATAACATTGACGTGTCTGAATCCGAAATCTACTTAAAGCATTTACGAACACCCTATTAACTCTACTTTGTGTACACCAGAATTAGCTTCAAATCATATTTTTTGTAGCTAAATCTAAAAAATCCACGTAATACGGAAATAAGATGGAGCAGACATTGGCAACACCAACTTAAACACTAAATTACAAACTATAAATAAATACTTAAACCGTGATTGGTAACAAATAAAATTAATCTTAAATTTACAATAATTACGAAAATGAAAGTAAAGTGATCATTAATTTATTGTTGATTAAATTTTGTGCCATTGTATTAATATCCAAGTTATGATTTTAGATACGATTATTTTCGCATACAAATGGTGCCTATTCTGACTTACAACGTTCCCATTTTTCAGTCTGTACAATTAAAAATATTTACGTTGTAGATTTTTTTTTTCGCTGTCGAAAATAAGTTTTTTATGACTTATTTTTATCTACAACAACACCTTCGTTGTGTATCTTCGGTACATAGAATTGAAAGTGCATTCAAATTATTCTTGTTTAGAATAACATTTACTGTGTGTACGTTACTTATATACGTCAGAATGAGCATATCCTTTTTTAAATTGACATCTGATATCTCAACTATTTATACTCTTCCCGCTATATACATCTTCTTGGCAGTGACCCCGCTGGTCCTTTTTCTTATATACATTCTTTACTTATCTATATTAACCAAAGGAGAATACGCATTACATACAAAATTACTACAGTCCATAGCAAATATTACCTCAGATTTTAGTACATTTAGTTTGATACGAATCAAAGTTACAAAATTCGAAAACAATGCCTTCAGACACAGGCTATTTCTAGGACGCGCGGTGCAACACAGCAATCAATCGCTAGCGGCCATTTCTTTAATAAAAAGAGCTAATTTTATAATTTACGTAATTTAACTCTCTGTCATAAATATTCGTCACGACAGAGGTTCAACATATCAAATTTTCATTTGGGACCATTTGTGCGTATTTTTCATTTTCTGCAAATTTAATTAGAATATTGATTGGTTTTTCATAATATGACGCTTAATTTCATTTATTAAATAAATAAAGTTCGCGATTAAGAGCTTTAATATCTTTTATTTTCGCATGACTATGGGGTATTTAAAAATATTCTGAGATAACTTGCTTGAGCCGGTTGCTGAGCGCAGTCTTTTATGATTCCCGACTTTACTTTATAGTTCTTGACACTATCTATTCGTAGTACGACTGTTTTCAGTGGTCATAAACAGTTGTTGGTCTAAAACGATTGAATCGTTACAAGCAATTGTGATGTTTAATGAAATTGTATATAAAATTATTATAAAACACACATTTATGTACAAATTCTACTAAATGTAACATGTTGAAATACATATTCAGTCATCTATCAAACATAATACAATACGATGATTTCTAATATTAATTAATAAATAATGTGATTTTAAAATAAATTAAAGCCTTAAATTTAAATGCTATTGTATTGGCTTTGTGAGGTTACAACGAAACATTACGTAAGAAATATTAAACATCAAACTTATCCGTCTCAATGACGAATAAAATTTCTAAAACAAATTACGAAAAATAACATATACAAAATGATAGATAGATATATTCACACTAGATACAGTATTCATTGTAAACATACAATGCCAATAGAATAAATTAATTATAATTAAGCATTACACAAAGAACTCTAAATAAAATTATCAGGTCTTTATAAAATGCAAAGACTAAAATATACAAATTCCGCCAAACTTACTCTTACAAAACAATCCTGAGATTTATCACGGTTACGCACCTGACGATGACGTCACATCGTTTGCGATGACGTCATCATCTAGGTATGAGTTTCACATTCCATTGAGGCGCAGATATGATTAATGGTATTGAATTATGGAATCCCTCGGCTTTTTAATTGACAGAAATGCTAGATTTTATATAAAGCTAGTAAAAGTATAATTACGACATATTGAAACGATTAAAATTGGCATACATATATATTATATGTCTATCACAAAGACCCCTTAAACATTATCGGACAATTAAAAGAGCAGAGCCTCTCGTGGGAGCCTTGGTTGATTCCTTGATTTAAAAACCGAATCAAGTTTGGTGGCATCTGTATTGAAGAACAGAGATCATGGGCGTGCATCATTGGAGGATTCCACGTCACTCGAGCTGGCCGACACTGACTTCTTCGGCTTATATTCTGTTATTACTACGGTCACACCGCTTACCGTTACCTTGTGAAAGAGATTTCATGATGACAAAAAGACAATAGTATTTATTGAAAAGGAACTCAATTCATAACTAGATCAGTCTGATTTAATCACACACAAATGTGAACAATTCTACTTGAATACGAAACAGCTTCTTAATTAAGTAGTGCATGGTATAAAAATTAATCCCAGATGAACGTAAATTTAGAATAGGTTAGTTTTTTATTCATACTAGATGAAGTTTATTCTCAAGTAAGATTAAGCGTTGTATTATAATAACCAAACTGGTCTATAAAATTTGTTAACTTATAACAACAAGTTACCGTATAACTTGTTTATCGCCTAGATGTTTTATCAAAAACTGGATTGTATATATATAAACTTCGATATTTGTCAGTATTCTAGAGTCTGGCTAATGAAAGAAAATAACGAAAAAGCGCGGCAAATTAAAAAATGTAGCATGGTAAAATGAGTAATTGCATAAAGTATCAAGACAATAAATCACACTAACCTAAGACATTCAATGATATTCTGTGTTACCATCTGAAAGTTTTCAAATAATTCAATTATCTTCTTTCATTAGCCAGACTCTATCAAATAAAAGACCTCACCTCTCTAGTCTGTGCAGAGCTTCTATCGACATTGTTAAGTCGTGGCTGACGTCTTTTCTTCTTGAGCGAGTTTGCTGACCTTGGTCTCTTCTGCGAGCTAGTGGGCGCCGTGCCAGCCGCCTGTGCCGCCACCATCGCTGGGTTAATTCGAGGCTTTCGTGTCGAGGTACCTTGAGAACATCGATCAAAATCAGAATACGGAAATGTTAAAAATACAGAAAAATTATGATAACTACTAATAATGAACTATGACCAAACGGAAAATCTGCTAGATGTATTAAAATAATTTCCACATATTATCATGGTTTCAAGCGTGTGCCTGATTCAAACCCACATACACCCTCCCAAATACACACGCACACTCACTCACACACTCACATACAGCCATGCAACTTTAGTAATCTAGTTGACTGTTTCGATTTGTTTTTATTTTTATTTTTTAGGAACTTTAAATTATGTTTGTCTACTCATAAATGTACTTTTTTGTTATAACTCAGTATGACTTTGATGTGGAATTGAAGCCAGGTTATCCATATCACAGGTTCTTACCTAGCTTGGAAACCAGTATCCCAATACCTTCTGAATTGTAATCGCACTGTTTGTTTCAAATGTTATATGGGAGAAATAAATAATTATGTTATTGTTGATATTGACTGAAAGCTCATTAACTATAAGGCAAGTCTGTAAAGGTTTACACATATTTAAATTGAAAGAATTAACTAACACTAATTGGATAGGGCTCATGTTCTTGGGAATTTTCCAAAGTTGCTTGTGTTATGTAAACATTAGTGAAGTTACATATATATTAGTTAATAATTAGAAGCTCAAACCAAATGTAAGCAATCATCACACACTTGAATCCAAAATGAGCCCTTTAGTTTTTCTCACACTCATAAATTGTAATATAACATCCTCGTTTCCGATAATGCCCAATAGGTCGACTACATATAAGTATATTTTTATAGGTGATATAAATGACACTTAGATTTAAGAACCCCTAAATAAGCCAAGTTAGTTTTTTGTTAATCCAGCTTCGCAACCCCTAATTTAAAAATTTAAAATTTAATTTTTTTTTTTAATTATGTTAGTTATAAGCTCATGTTTTAAACGATCAAAGCCCGTTGACACCCAACTTCAAACAAAGAGTTTCATTTAGAATTTATTTGAACACAAAAACCGACTCCGAACCTAACTCTCGACAAAATAAAATTATTTATTTAAACTTCTATCTAGTTTATGTCTGAAATCCATATTCAAAGGCTGAAAAATATGTTTGTAGTAAGAAAGCCAACGTTTGATACTCAACTAAGATTAAATTACATTCGTTTTAAATATAATACACGCACGTGCATGCGGCTAACTTCGCGGTGGAGTAAACGTTTTCAGACATTTTATCAGCCATAGCTATGACCTAGTGGTCGTAAATTTATAAATTAACATATACAATAGACTATACCGTCTGGGGCACAGTCTATAGATATAGTTACCTAACAAGTTGGAGGGTTAATGCGAAAACTGTGTAGCTGAACCGAGTTCCCAGCAAATTGAATTGTAAGATGTTTCGTATTGCCTCCAGCAAGGTCTGAGTGGCAATTTCTCTGAATTTATAGCTCTTGTATTACCTATAGCTACGTCGAGTGCCTACTTGTGAAATGCGTCAAAGCAATTTAAGGTTAGTTAACAACTTCCACCCCGGGGCTTTGCTTCGTTCTCTTTGAATTAAAAAATAAAATAAATCAATGGCGCTACGACCTTTTTAGGTCTGGGCCTCAGATTTTTGTATCAGTTTCATGATCATTTGTCAATCTAATAGGCAAGTAGGTGATCAGCCTGTGACTGACACACGCCGTCGACTTTTTGTATCTAAGGCATGCCGGTTTTCGCACCTTCACTGTTCGAGCGAATGTTAAATGCGAACATAAAAAGAAAGTCCATTGGTGCACAGCCGGGGATCGACCCTACGTCATCAGGGATGAGAGTCGCACGCTGAAGCCACAAGGCCAATAGCAGTGAACTTATATTATCTATGTATACCTTTTTTTATTTAGGTCCCAGAACATGGACGGCCTGACCGTCTTCATTCATGAATCATGAGGAAATCATCAGGGTTCCCAACCGTACGATAATTATCGTACATCTGGGAGAGTTTTATAACGATGTAAACTACTATCATACGCAAATTGTACGAATGTCTTTTAAGGTATGGGTATATAAAACTGAGCAAAATCCGTGTTCGATGATTTTTGATCTATAACGAATAAACGATAATTTTAAGGCCCTGGAACGATATCTGCCTGGCGTACTGACTGGTTGTGAACACTATTAGGCAGGTCCAAATTCTCTTCTAATTATTCTGGTAAATTTGATACCAACAGCTCCACTCAAACAGCCTTTGTTGTGTAGGCGTTTTCGACAAATCAGACCACATTATGAACTCATTTTGGAGCCTTTCAAGGTCACCTAAATGATGGTCTTCATTGGTTTACGAGAAATGTACTTAGGCTAAATGTGTTATTTCTTTGGCCCAAGTGAAAACAGGTTTTCGTATCTTAGTTGCCAGAGGAGCGAGGAACTATATATAAAACTAAATATTAATATTTGCCTATAATATGAAAAATACCGACAGATCTTTAGCTTGGTTGCAAGTATTAATTTAATTAATTTTTGCTTTAAGCATTGAATCATTAATGTGTAATAGATTTATATTGTATTTCTTTTTTTAAACGCCAATAATATATAAGATGACAAAATACTGGGCTATAAATTTTCAATATAGGTGCAGCAATGAGTCTGCATTGCCCTTTGGGAAATTGCACAATTACCAAGGCTGCGATTAAACAAACCAGTTTTATTTTACATATTATAATGAAAGTAAACCCAAGAATCTAATAAGAAATCTTTCTAGTACTCGTGGATACAGTTTTTCACAAGGAATATGAGTTTATTTATGAAAAGTAATAAATAGTATGCTGTTCTAAAGAATCTGCACAACTTATATTTATTAAAATCATTTAAAAAAAACAACACATCCAACCAAATTAAATCATTAAACAGGGTTATTAAAGAAAAGACAACTAATATATAGTAAACAAGAACTAAATTATGTATAATGTATCGTTTGATAAAAATAAAATAGAACAGTTATTAAATCCTAGTTGAAACTTGAAAGAACTTGTCCCTCCTGAGATGGATATATGCTAGAAACATTCTCAAAATGCTTTTGTCAAATCCAATCTATAGATTTAGTGATTCGTATTTAAAATTAAGGCAGACATTTATGTTGAAAAAAACACATAACTACATAATATGAGTATTATGTATTAATATATTGAACTATCTCCATCTCATTTATATCTTTATATTTTGAATGTCAAATAGTAGTGTGGACAATAAGAAGTAAGCAAAATAACATATCAAAAATGTATAGTTTTATGGATTCATGCATAAATATTAATAATGAATATTTATTTTTATTAAGTAAAGTACCTGTAGATAATTCTAGATGTCACTGAAAGACTTATCTAACATAATCAATATGGTCAAATTATTAGTCTGCCTGATTCTTTAAGGTTATATTACAGAAATCAATTTATGTGCAGTGTTAGAAATCTGTGTTTATATACACATAGTTTTTAGTGCTAGCTGTAAAAAGTAAGGTAACTAAAAATGTTGGTATACATACTAAATGTAATGAGTCAAAAGTGAATGACCTATATTTACCTAACTCCAATAGCAGTACTAAGTTTTTTTTAATGATACACACCTTTTCTAACGTCACACATGGAACATTTAAATGCTTCAGCATTATTTCTGTACGTGCAAACGCTGCAATCCCAATAATTTTCTTCGAGCACTTTAGAGGGACGTTTCCCTCTTCGAATTGCATTTTTCTTGTCCATTTTAATGGTCACTTCCAATTGAAACGATATAATAGGTACTAATCATGATATTTTACAATAAACGCTATGTTTTTTATCACATTGGAACGGGTTTTCTCGTATAGAAATCATTATTTTGGTTTAAATAAACACGACTCTGAAAAACACTACGCCATGACAGACAATGCAACTTGTCGATAAAACAGAGCAAGCGCCAACTAGCGGCCCAGACTGTTTTACCGACGTTTGGAACAGATAACTATTTTAATAGGATCTTAGATTAAAAAGAAGCGTATGTACTTCATATGTTTAGAAGTCTGAAGTAGGTGAACCCTTATAAGCAATTATGGTCCTTTAATAGTTACTTTTAATAATTATTTCTTTAAAAAGTATTTTTTTGTAGTTACATAGAGGGTACTATTTTAGTACTTCTAAATAATCTTATCTCTAATCTATATCAATCGATAGTATAGAAACATGTTTTAAATATATGCAAAATAAATAGGTAAATATAAAATTTTATATTTACCTTTATCACTGGATTTAGCACCACAGTGAAAGTTGAAACAATATTAACCTTGACATTTAAAATATCACTCGAATACCGAATAGCTACCTTAAATAAAAACTGAATTTTACCTAACAAATAAAACATTATGGAAAGATCGTAAGTAGATAATACCATATTTTACGAGGTTAGAACTTAGATTACCTACTTTTTATAAGGTATCAAATGATTAGGGCGTTTAAGTATTTTCTGAAGCTCATAAAATCACACTCAGTATATAGTAGGTACTTATATATTATTATTGTATTAAAATGCATCATGTCAAACGAATGGCCACAACCACATCAATCATTTATGTTATTTTATTAATTTAACCTACATTTTAAAATTATTTGACATTTCAAGAAATTTTGTCGGCATAATGCACTCAATAAACTTTACGAAATTAAAAATACATATAATAGATCCAGAACTTCACAAACGTATAGGCAGTGTTCCCATACATAAAGCAAAAGTTTACAGAATCAACTAGAATTTAAAAAAAATCTACAAAGGATCTATAATAAAGGTTCGGAAATTCGTCGAAAAGAGGGATCGATGTGAAATTTTGTTTCTACCTGCTACGTTTTTGTGGAGTTTCGAGGGTTAATTCTTAGATGAAATACGAACTTTCTTATGAAGTACCTATCTTTATATTTTATAGTGTATGTTACCGTTGGTTTCTTTCCTGTCTTAGTAAATAACGTAATATTATTTTAAAAGCCTGAATCCAAACCTACATTCTGACGAATTTAAATATTTTTTCTATACCTTTACTTGACTTAAGACATAATTGACTAAATAAAAAGACACGTTGCGCACGTTGAATTAGCTTCGACTCAACTTTGGACATAAGTACCTAATATACAGTATGTGTGATGTCATGTTTATTTAACTTTTCATATAAAAACATTTATTTATAATAATAAATTTAGTATGAGTATAGTATATAGTCTCGAAATAAGAATCTATCAATAAACTCCATAGCGAATTTTATTTTATTAAAACTAGTTAAATCTATAGTATATCCAAACTAAACATATCTGTATTATAATTACCAAGTTCTGATACCAGATACGATATTTCGAAATTGGAACACTAACGTTATTCCCGCGCTTTCCCAAACACGTGAAACCGCTACTTTTTGTCGGTGTCACTTCTCGTTGGGAGGCTTAATTCGAGTTTCACATATTTCTGGGAAGCTATTGAAGATCTTTTTACCGCTTTGTCGATGGAGACATTTAACGTGGTGAAATTAAAATATTCAATTAAGTATTGAAAAAATTTAACAATATATTATGTTAGATAAAATTACAATATAAGAAAGTTTGAAAGTTGAGGCTCTAAAGACGTTTTGTACCTACAAACTATTTCGTCCTCCATGTCATAGTGATAAACGGATATGACGTATTAGTGCAATTCAGATCTAGGATCGCCAATAATACTGCATTGATAGAGTCTGTGCGGAAAGGTTACTAATATAATTCTTATTTACTACATCAATGCATTTATTTATTAACAAAAAATATAATTTTAAATTATTACTTTTTCCATATTAAGTAGATAATAACTCAAAACAGTAAGGTGAATTGCCTGCCCCAGTCCTCCACTGGAAACATAAATATATATATTCGAATAGTAATTAATAAATAATTTAGGTTGCGGGTGCCCAAGAATATTACCCTACAAAACTGCGCTAAGAAGCTTCTATAGCAAGAGGATTCTAAAAAGGTTTTACTAATTCGACAGTTCGCCAATAAATCACACGAGTTAAGAACACAAAACTCGGGGTCGCAGTTGAACATCCCGACACCCCGACCACCTGTGGCGTCGAGACATTGTGGTTTTATTGTAATAGTGACTTACTGCCACAGATAATAAATGTTTCACACGAATCTGTACAAGGTTTATCCGCGTGTCAATTGATATAACCTATTTTGATCGAATATTTATGCATTTGATAGCAATAATACAAAGTATTTAAATAGATTTTTTCTTGTTTTAAATGTAATTTAATGCACTGAAAGATGTATAATATGCATCCAATTCGTGTTGATCGTACATATACTTAGATTTATGTTATAATTATATTCTTTATAATCAGAAACGTGGGTGAAACCTGGATTATTTTTAGAATAATACTCTAAAAATTAAAATTTGTTTTGCATAATCTGTTAAAAATATGAAAAATAATAAGTTATTTTTCCTATTAATTGGCACAAGCCCCGTTGGATTCTCTAGGTAGCACCCATGACCAGATACAGAACAGAAACCTAATGGCTAATATTCAGTAGTAGTTTTCTAGGTATCTATTCGGCTCTGTTTTGAGCGCTGTCAAATATGAAAATCTTGAAAAAGTGGTTGACAACGCCTGATACACATTTAACTTTGATTGACGTTCTAGAATACGGGCCTTACTCTTTTAGTTCACCTTATCTATAAGTACTCAGATTATAAATTTAAAACAATTAAACATTTAGTTGAACCCTTTTCTTCTGTTTCGTACATAGGTGTTACGTAGTAGGTGCTTACGACTTGAGTGACTTGTGTAAAATATTTCCATAGTAAGACATCATCTATCTCTTTTTCTATGGAATTAACTCGAGTTTAATTTAATACATACAGAGGGTTAACAAGTACACGGAGAGTAATTTACATAAACGTAAAACTTAAGTACCTAACCATAAAGCGCTTCGAGGTGAAACCTAAAAAAGTAAACGAATTTCACTTTCATATTTCAAAACTTACCTGTGAAAAATTCGAAAAATGTTGTCAACACTGTCAGTGTGGCCACAACAAAAAGTTTGCATTGAATCATACACGCCAACCTGTTGCATGCAATAAAAGAAAAAGAAATAGGCTGCCCGGAAATACGAACCAGCGGACAACCGAAAAAACGACAAGCTGATTTATTTCCTGTCTGGATTTAAAAAGAAAGGATTGGCAATTTAAATGCTATCCAGCTCTAGAAATGGGGTTTATGGTTTTAGAAATCCTTGCCATTAGATTCTGGCTTTCACAATTTTCGTAGTATGTTCTCCTTTACTTTTAAAGATACAGTGTTTAGAAAAATTGGTTTGAATAAAATATTGTATTACAATTAACATTTAATATGAGAGCGAAAAATATAATAGTACTAAGTTCACGATGGGTTATACAGTGTTTTTAAAAGAGCGAAATACGACCAGGCTGTGCTCAGAATCTGTAAAAAATACAAATAATTATAGCAACAAGGCTTAAATTAATATACAAACGAAATATATACCCACACTCATAAAGGCTCTTAAATTGACGTCAGCAAATCCATAAGCAGTTAACTTGCTAGCCATCTGAGCTCTGAAAACATACAACTAAACAAAGCAATCCACAATTTTAGATGTTATCCGATTTCGCGTAGAATATATTGATAGATTTGTGTCTGTTACTAGGACACCGGGAAACAACTACTGCTGATAAAAGAATTGCTATAATCGGTCCGGATTACTTTAGTATATAACGTTAGGTAAATACTGTTTATAATCTATTTAGTGATTAAATATTGATATACTGTGGCTGTGCATCTGTCAGCTGTAGGTAAGGCGCGAGAGCACTACAGAACTCATGACTTAAAGAAACCATGGAAAACGTAAACGGGTCCAAATGTTTTAAAATGTTCTTTATGTAAAGTTCGCTTATATACCGCTTTCTATTAATACAAACATATACTATAGCTTCAGTCGCTTTATGGTTATAAATGTAAATACAAAGAATATTATACATACCTTATCTGAACAATATTACAAAGTTTCCTAACTTTAACATCAGCATTGTACCACTTGCTGCTATACATTGCGTTACTTACACCAAAACTCTAAAAAAGGACTCTGTACTAACAAATTATATATTTACTAATATAAGTTTAATAATTAAGTGTTTGTCTAGTGGCTTGCGTTCGACCCTCATTAGTAGATTGGAACCCCGAAACCAATGGAGTTTTCGTGGTTAGGTGAAGGGGAAACCAAGGGGGAAACCGGATTATGGAAAAAGGCTGATCACCTACTACTTGGTGAAATCAGTAAAAGGCCCAGACCTAAAGAGGTTGTAGCGCAACTGATTTTCAATTTAATTAAACACTTGATTTGTTTCTGAAACATTAAATATTACGATTACTTTTAGATGTTTTTAACATACCGACTGCATCACCAAGTCGCCGAAGAAACAAATAAAAAATATTTGCAATAAACTTGTCAATAGAAAGGTAAGAAACATACTCGTAAACGCCTTGTCTTCCATACTCTGAAAATGTATTAGTCGAATCTCACAAATACATACTATTTCAGCCTCATGAATCGGAATTTCATATTAATATAGTTTTAGATCTCAATTGTTTCCCTACGAAAGACTCTGTAAAATAGCTGAAATAGCCTGACGCCGTATTTCTTAGGAACTAGAGGACTGTTTTGCCCCTTTCCGTTAAATCGTATTAACATCGTGG